ACATTCACTCACACAAACACACATACACACACACACTCATACATTCACACACACACACACACACACACACACACACACACACACACACACACACACACACACATACACACACACACACACACACACACACACACACACACATACACACACACACACACACACACACACACACACACTCATACATTCACACACACACACACACACACACACACACACACACACATTCATTCACTCTCACACACACTCATACATTCACTCACACAAACACACACACACACACACACTCATACATTCACTCACACACACACACATACACACACACACTCATACATTCACACACACACACACACACACACACACACACACACACACACACACACACACACACACTCACTCACATACACACACACACACACACTCACATACACTCACTCACACACACACACACACTCACATACACACACTCACTCACACACCTGGATCAGGTGCTTTAAAGCCTGGATCCGTGAACTTTACATAATTAGACGCATCAGTAAATGTAACACACCCACAGCGATCAGATCATTTGCTTCAGTACTTTTACAGCTAGCTTCTACCTAAATGACGGCTGTGATCTGATTTTCCTGTCTGAGTCCATCAGGGGTCCTCCTTGTGGTGTAGGACCCTGTGACGTGAACGTGACGGTGGGCGTGGACCAGCTGCACCAGGATCAGCTTCTCTCCTCCCTCTGACTACAGCCCGAGGCTGGGGCCGAGAACACGTTTGGGTTCTAGTTGAGGTTCCTATCTTCTTACATTCAGGATGTGGTTTTAGAGTCTCTGATTCTTCACGTTTAAAGCACTGTAGAGTTAGTCTCCATACAAAACTATGTTTTCATAAAGTCACATTTCAGCAAGTAAAGCTACCTCTGAAATAATGTTGGACGTTTTAATTGCACTTTGAAAAGTCACGATCAGAACTAGAAATAGAGTTTAGTTTCTACTGACGTCGTTTTATTCTCTTTCCTCTAGCGCTGGTTCTGGGCAGATAAATAAGATGTGATGAGGGCTAAATCTGAGCGCCAGCTCTAGAGCACACACACACACACACACAGACCGAGTCTGGGTTCCCTTCAAACGAAGAAAACGTTTCCGTGGTGACCAGGATGAAAGCAGCAGAGCTAAAACCAGTCAATGTTTGGTCATCTTCACCCAGCTGTTCCACAGGAATCCATCTCAGTCATCATCATCATCATCATCATATTCTTCTTCTTCTTCATCATCATCATCACATCATCTTCACCATCATCATCTTCACCCAGCTGTTCCACAGGAATCCATCTCAGTCATCATCATCATCATCATCATCATCTTCACCCAGCTGTTCCACAGGAATCCATCTCGGTCATCATCATCATCATCTTCTTCTTCTTCTTCTTCATCATCATCATCACATCATCTTCACCATCATCATCTTCACCCAGCTGTTCCACAGGAATCCATCTCGGTCATCATCATCATCATCATCATCATCATCATCTTCACCCAGCTGTTCCACAGGAATCCATCTCAGTCATCATCATCATCATCATCATCATCATCATCTTCATCATCATCATCATCATCATCATCATCATCATCATCATCTTCTTCTTCTTCATCATCATCATCACATCATCTTCACCATCATCATCTTCACCCAGCTGTTCCACAGGAATCCATCTCAGTCATCATCATCATCATCAGCATCATCATCATCATCATCATCACATCATCTTCACCATCATCATCATCATCATCATCATCTTCACCCAGCTGTTCCACAGGAATCCATCTCAGTCATCATCATCATCATCAGCATCATCATCATCATCATCATCACATCATCTTCACCATCATCATCATCATCATCTTCACCCAGCTGTTCCACATGAATCCATCTCAGTCATCATCATCATCTTCATCATCATCTTCTTCATCATCACATCATCATCTTTATCATCATCTTCATCATCATCACATCATCATCATCTTCATCATCATCATCTTCATCATCACATCATCATCTTTATCATCATCTTCATCATCATCACATCATCATCATCTTCTTCTTCTTCATCATCATCATCTTCATCATCACATCATCATCACATCATCATCATCTTCATCATCACATCATCATCTTTATCATCATCTTCATCATCATCACATCATCATCATCTTCTTCTTCTTCATCATCATCATCTTCATCATCACATCATCATCACATCATCATCATCTTCATCACCTTCATCATCATCTTCATCATCACATCATCATCATCATCGTCATCATCATCATCACATCTTCATCACCTTCATCATCATCTTCATCATCACATCACATCATCATCACCATCATCTTCATCACATCATCTTCATCACCTTCATCATCATCTTCATCATCACATCATCATCATCACCATCACCATCATCTTCATCACATCATCTTCATCATCATCTTCATCACCTTCATCACATCATCATCACCATACTTTTCATCACCATCATCTTCATCATCACATCATCACCATCATCATCATCATCATCATCATCACCACCACCATCATCATCATCATCATCATCATCATCACACCATCATCATCATCACTTCATCATCACCATACTCTTCATCATCATCATCTTCATCATCATCATCACATCATCTTCATCATCACATCATCATCACCATACTCTTCATCATCATCATCTTCATCATCATCATCACATCATCTTCATCATCACATCATCATCACCATACTCTTCATCATCTTCATCATCATCATCACATCATCTTCATCATCACATCATCATCATCATCTTCATCACCTTCATCACATCATTATCACCATACTCTTCATCACCATCATCTTCATCATCATCACCATCATCATCATATCATTAGCATCATTATCATCATCTTCATCATCACATCATCACCATCATCATCGTCATCATCATCATCATCATCACCATTATCGTCATCATCTTCATCATCACATCATCACCACCATCATCGTCATCATCATCACCATCATCGTCATACTCATCATCAGCAGCAGCAGCAGCATCATCATCATCTTCTTCATCATCACACCATCTTCATCACCATCATCTTCATCATCATCATCATCATCATCACCATCATCTTCGTCATCACATCATCAAATCATCTTCATCATCACCATCATCTTCATCATCATCACATCATCTTCATCTTCATTATCACATCATCATCATCTTCATCTTCATCATCATCATCATCACCATCATCTTCATCATCACATCATCATCATCTTCATCATCATCATCATCACCATCATCTTCATCATCACATCATCATCATCAAATCATTATCATCTTCATCATCACCATCATCTTCATCATCATCATCATCATCATCATCATCACCATCATCTTCATCATCACATCATCATCATCTTCATCATCACCTCATCATCACCATCATCTTTATCATCACCATCGTCTTCGTCATCATCACCATCATCATCATCATCACATCATCATCATCATCATCACCATCACCATCATCTTCATCATCACATCATCATCATCTTCATCATTGCATCATCATCATCACATCATCATCATCTTCATCATCACATCATCATCATCACCATCATCACCATCATCATCATCACATCATCATCATCATCTTCATCATCACCATCATCTTCATCATCATCATGACCATCATCTTCATCACCATCTACTTCATCGCATCATCACCATCAGCAGCAGGTAGAACTACAATTCTAGAATGACAGCGAGCAAACCGACACCGGAGCAGAAATTCTTTACAAAATGTACAAAATAAGGATTTTACTGCATCTTGCAGATCAATGTGCTTTCTTAACTTTGGCACTAAACACGGGGACCCTTGTGTCTCCAGGTCGATCTGTACTTTCACCACGTCTCAGTGGTCCAGAGTTAGTACCAGTAGGGTGAAAACCAGTCAGAGAGGACATTACTGGCTCTAATGGTGCTGGTCTCAGGTGGAGCAGTAACAGGACAACAGCACCAAGAAGCACTTCCCCTGTAGGTGAGAGTAAAGAAGACTTGGCAGAACCACAGGGTGACCCGACAGTCTGGTTTTCTCGGCGGCCCACAGGACCAGTGTGAGTCCTGACGGCACTGCAGTAATAATACGACGTAAACAGCTAATATGTGCTGACAGCTCACTGGCACTTTACACTTTAGAAAATTATACATCAACAGATATATAATTCATATTCAGAACCACACATGCTTCAACTATAGCAAAAAAGTTGTTCCACATCATGAAAATACTTAAAGTACAAATAAGGCAAAAATAGTTACACACCTAATAGTTATGACCAAAGAAAAACACAAAATATTTTATACTTTATGAATGAAATAAATGAGAAATCTTTCACATGAAAGTAATAAAGCAGATAAACAACTGGAACCTGGTTCTGTTGGATCAAAGCTCAGACTTTCTGCTTTAAGGGGAAAACCTACGGAACACAAATATACTCTAAAATCACCATATTATAGTCAAATCAACAACAATAATCATGTATAATTAGCCAAAATAAATAAACGTTCATATGTTCTCACTGTCACTTAGAAACCTTAAATATTTTACTATTATTAAATAAAGCTTTTACTTCATTTTAAAGAAGTTTGGCTAAATTGTCGAGCTTTACTAACATTTATAACTTTTACTTTAGAACTAAATAATTAAAGAAAATTCATTTTTTTACTGTCATAAATGTTTCTCTTTAATTATTATTAATTACTTTTTGTGCAACAATGCTCAATTAGACCTGAGAATGAATACATTTTAGGATGTGTACATCAGTCATTATTAAACTAATGCACTAATTAAAGGAATGAATATTAGTGAATGTATTATGAAGGTAGGATTAATAGTCATTATTGATGATTAATAATCAATAGCCCAGCCGTCCTCGTGTAAAAACCTCACTAAACAGTCTCAGAGCACATAGATGCTTTTATCAATACGACACCACTTAAACTAGGCAGGTAACAAAATCATAATAATGTTAATAACAGCTTCATCTCATGTTTGACCCTCAGAACCCAAAAGTGAATACATCTTTGGATTTACTTAAGGACAAATCCTCGTCGCCATCGTTGAGCTGAACGTTTCGATGCACCAACGTCATAAAGTTTATATAAAACAGCTAGTGATGATGTCACAAATAAAGGGTTAAAAGTCTATGCTTCTAGTAAACACAACACTTAACGCATACTGACCTTATTCAACACCGTCGTCTCCTCTGAGAAAAGCCTCCTTATGTACAAACACACAAATGCTGAGGTCAGAGTTCACATTTGAATGTGTTTTCTGTGTTTTTAGTGGTGGCAGGAGCGGATTTGTTAATGTAATCCCAATCCCAGCTGGAGAGATGCCTAACTCTCCCTGAGTTAAGTCATCAAGAGTTCAGACCACTGTTGCTCAGTCTTCGATTAAAACAAACAAACAATATTTAAAAAGCCCTTACTGAGGGACCTGTCTGCTGCTTGTTTGAGATCTCAGCTGCTCAATGTTGGATCTGGGTTCTGAGTAAACCTGCTGCCTGGTTTTGATTGGCTCAGCTGCAGGCGAGGTCGAATGGAGTTAGCTGACCCTGCGTTCCTCGTGGATTCGTGTTCTGGGCACTGGACCCAACAGAAGCCCCCCAGACAAACCCTTCACTGGTCAAGTGCTAAATCACAGGTTTATACAGATGTGACTCTTTATAGGCCAGGCCCGAAGTCGGAGGTGGAGTGTGAGTTAGGACGGGTCGGGGTAAGGTGGGGGGAGGGGTTGGGCTGGGACGCCCAAACACATTCTGCATCTGCCTGTTAGGAAAACTGGGCTGAATGGGGTTTTCTTGGAAATTTCTAAGGTTTTCGTGGAAACGGTTGGTGCTCTCACCGTCATAGCAGTTATTTTCATCAGATGGGCGGTGGTTGTGTTGGAGATCGGGGTCTGGGCCTGGGTCTACGACATGGACGAGGTTGCCGCTGCCCTTCCTCCTAAGAGTAGACTCCCGGCTGGAGGAGGCCACTGACTGGCAATCTGAGCCTCCATCACTGCTTGCTGCTGTGGCTTCCACTGGGGTGATCCGGATGGTGGTAATCGCCTGAGGGTGGGGGTGGAAAGGGGGAGCAAAGGTGGAAGGTGGACAGAATGTCACGCCAAAGTTGGAGGCATTGGGGTTGTAATTAGGGAGATCATTGTTAAAGTTTGGATTATTGGAATTGCTGGGAATGAAATTAGGGTGCTGAAAATTGTTAGGGTTGTTTGGATGTAGAGGATGCAGAGGGTGTACTACGTGTGGGTGGTTGATCTGGACGCAACCCCCGCCCCCTCCATCCCCACAGCTTTCACTCTCGGACTCAGTTCCTGCAACACTCCTCCTTCCATCCACAGACCCACCATCCCTCAGAGAATCACAGCTGTCTGTGTTTCTGTTCAGGTCATTGAGCACAAAGGCTGACTGTCTCAGGGACGCTCGCTGTTCCGGCGGCTTCCATCTCCACGAGCCATTTCCTTCAGAATTTGGAGGTTTCACCACTGGTTTGTTCTGCCTGATCTCCGGATGGGCGTCAACACGAACTATACTTCCCGTTCGTTCCAAGCCTCCTCCTAAAACACAAAACAACAGATTTTTCTCATCTTTGCAAGAAATACCAAAGATGCAGCCAGGACTCAAAGCTGTGTGGTCTTCATGCAACAAGGGCTACCAGGCAGCACATGTAATTGCTACGAAACACATGTAAAACACATGTAAGACACAAAAACACATTTAGAACTCATGCGAAAGACACAAGGCTCAAAAATGTATTTAGAAAAACAAATAAAGCCCATGTAAAACCAACATGAAACCCTGTTAAAACACATGTAAGACACAGAAAACCCATTCAAATACATGAAACTCCAGTAAAACACACTTTTAACATACACTCAACAAAAATATGAACGCAACACCTTTGTTTCTGCTCCGAATTTTCATGAGATGGACTTAAAGATCAAAAATTCATTCCAGATACACAATATTACCATTTCTCTCAAACATTGTTCACAAATCAGTCTAAATGTGTGATAGTGAGCACTTCTGCTTTGCTGAGATAATCCATCCCACCTCACAGGTGTGCTACATCAAGATGCTGATCTGACATCATGAGTAGTGCACAGGTGCACCTTATACTGCCCACAATAAAAGGCCACCCTGGAATGTGCAGTTTTTTGCTTTGTTGGGTGTCTGGGGACTCAGAACCGGTCAGTATCTGGTGTGACCACCATTTGCCTCATGCAGTGCAACACATCTTCTTCGCATAGAGTTTATCAGATTGTCAGTTGTGGCCGGTGGAATGTTGGTCCACTCCTCTTCAATGGCTGTGCGAAGTTGTTGGATATTAGTGGGAACTGGTACACGCTGTCGTATACGCCGGTCAATCACATCCTAAACATGCTGAACGGGTGACATGTCCGGTGAGTATGCTGGTCATGCAAGAACTGGAACATTTTCAGCTTCCAAGAATAGTGTACAGATCCTTGCAACATGGGGCCGTGCATTATCTTTCTGAAACATGAGGTGATGTTCATGGATGTACGGCACAACAATGGGCCTCAGGATCTCATCACGGTCTCTCTTTGCATTCAAAACGCCATCAATAAAATGCACCTGTGTTCTTCGTCCATAACAGATGCCTGCCCATACCATAAACCCTCCACCACCATGGGCCACTCGATCCACAACATTGACATCAGCAAAGCGCTCACCCACACGATGCCACACACGCTGTCTGCCATCTGCCCTGAACAATGTAAACCGAGATTCATCCATGAAGAGAACACCTCTTCAACGTGCCAGACGCCATCGAATGTGAGCATTTGCCCACTCAAATCTGTTATGGCGACGAGCTGGAGTCAGGTCAAGACCGCGATCAGGATGACAAGCATGCAGTTGAGCTTCCCTGAGATGGTTTCTGACAGTTTGTGCAGAAATTGTTTGGTTATGCAAACCAATTGTTTCAGCAGCTGTCTGAGTGGCTGGTCTCAGACGATCTTGGAGGTGAACCTGCTGGATTTGGAGGTCCTGGGCTGGTGTGGTTACACGTCGTCTGTGGTTGTGAGGCCGGTTGGATGTACTGCCATATTCTCTGAAACGCCTTTGGAGGCGGCTTATGGTGGAGAAATGAACATTCAATGCATGAGCAACAGATCTGGTTGACATTCCTGCTGTTAGCATGCCAAATGCATGCTCCCTCAATGCTTGTGGCATCTGTGGCATTTTGCTGTGAGACAAAACTGCACATTCCAGGGTGGCCTTTTATTGTGGGCAGTATAAGGTACACCTCATGATCATGATGTCAGATCAGCATCTTGATGTGGCACACCTGTGAGGTGGGATGGATTATCTCAGCAAAGCAGAAGTGCTCACTATCACACATTTAGACTGACTTGTGAACAATGTTTGAGAGAAATGGTAATATTGTGTATCTGGAATGACTTTTAGATCTTTAAGTCCGTCTCATGAAAAATCGGAGCAGAAACAAAGGTGTTGCGTTTTTATTTTTGTTGAGTGTATTTACAACATGTTATACATATGCAAGATTTGTAAAATCCATTTAAAACCCATTTAAGACAAACGTAATACCAATGTGAAACCCATCTAAACACACGTAAAACCCATGTACATATATCTTAAAACACATGAAAGCCACATGTGTAAACGTAAACATGTGAGACCCATTGTAAACCCTTGAGGGACACCTGAAAGAGACCTGTAAGCCACATGTAAAGCCCATTTTAGACGCATGTAAAAATCACTGATATGAGGCACCATCAAAGCCGTATCCATTTAGGTAATATGGGTCTTTTTTTATCCTTTTTGTTTGCATATTCTCTAAATGTGTGTCCGTTGCCGTCCAGTAGGATGTGCTGCTGCTCCCTCTGCACATCCCTGTTTTCCACGAACATTTATGATCTAGTTTAACCATTTGACGATTCCATGCCAGTAAGTGGGCTTTGAGAATGGTTCGTAAATAACGAGGAACAGACCTGTTCTTCCACCTCCCACTGCTCCTGTGGTAGAGGCCGGCGGCGACGGATCCTGGTCCGTTAGCGCTCTGTACCGAATGGATCCAGTGCAGCTGACAGTGCTGCCAACATCCTCCAGTCGGGGAGAGTGAAGCAGGCCCTGCTGTTTGGATAAAGCTATCACCTAAGAAAGATACGGAAACAAAATCCGAATCACATTACTAAGCCAGTATCAGCAGCAAACCTTTCTCGTGGTTTTGCTCCCAGATCCACACACACAAACACACCACCACCATGATGAGGAGCTGCTCTGACCTTATTTCCTTCTTTCTCATCACACACTCATTGGGAACACAAGCACCTTCTCTGAAGGGAACAATTCTCTTTTGGTGAAAAGGTTTTGTTCAGATGGTTTTGCTCTCAGATTTCTTGTCATCCTGAACAATAGAAGATGAAAAGAGTTTCCTGCAAGCTGCATGTGTTTTTGAATTGTTACTTTAATTCATGTCTTTTGTACAACTTTACATTAATAGTTGTAACATTTTGAGGATATAATGCCCAAGCAGCAGCCTCTAGAGGTGCATCACAGAACAGGCCGTCCAGCAGCAAGAACATTGATCTAGTAACAGATTTCTATGTTTTGTGGACAGCTGCTGTCAGTTTTTTCCAGTAACTTCATACCGTTCAATTCAATTCAATTTTATTTATATAGCGCCAAATTACAACAAGAGTCGTCTCAAGGCACTTCACATTATAAACATTCCAAATCAGGTCAGTTCATTAAGCCAATCAGTAAAAAGTTTCCTACATAAGGAACCCAGCAAATTGCATCAAGTCACTGACTAGTGTCAGTGACTATACAGCAATCCTCATACTAAGCAAGCATAAAGCGACAGTGGAGAGGAAAACTTCCTTTTAACAGGAAGAAACCTCCAGAGAATCCTGGCTCAGTATAAGCAGCCATCCTCCACGACTCACTGGGGATGGAGAAGACAGAGCAGGCACACACACACACACACACACACACACACACACACACACACACACACACACACACACACACACACACACACACACACACACGCACAGACACACACGCACACACACACACACACACACACACACGCACGCACACACACGCACACACACACACACACACACACACACACACACACACACACACACACACACACACAAGTAATGTGTCTATAGTTATATTGTGATTTCTAAGTAAATATTCTATTTGGTGAGAGATCAACTTTATTGTATTTATCCTAGTGGATCTATAATTAAACGGAAAAACTAGTAGTAGCACATCAACGTCGAGGAAAGCAAAAAGTTATTATCAGGAGCCAAAAGCAGCTTATTAAGTTTAAAGTCATTTGGACTCCAGCGAATTGTTAATTCTAACTGAACTTAACACAGAAGTAACTCAAAGATACTGAGATACCTGAGAATTATGGACACACTGAGGACCTAGGCTAACGGGGTTTGGTTTGGTGACTGAACTAGTGAAATGTGTGTGTGTGTGTGTGTGTGTGTGTGTGTGTGTGTGTGTGTGTGTGTGTGTGTGTGTGTGTGTGTGTGTGTGTGTGTGTGTGTGTGTGTGCTTGTGTGTGTGTGTGTGTGTGTGTGTGTGTGTGTGTGTGTGTGTGTGTGTGTGTGTGTGTGTGTGTGTGTGTGTGTGTGTGGTGCAGTTTGATGGTAACATGTTTGAGGTGTAACTTTGCCTTAAGGAGGTCTGGCTTCTAGAGAACATCAACGGGGACACTGAACAGGTTGAACCATCTAAAGGATGGATGGGTGACTATCCGACTTCAGTCAGACTCCTGAGTGTTTTTGGTAACAAAACCAACGAAGTGCCCCTTTATCAACAGAATCAGCTAGCCTAGTGAACTAGACCAAATTCTTGTTTTGCAAAGTTGGTCTAGGAACGCTCCACTGGAACCTCCGCAGCCCCTAACGGCATTCTGGCTGGCCAATCACAGCTCTCTAGAGAGGTTTCAAACACATAAAGAGCTGTGATTGGTCCATAATGGTGGGCCAATCATAGTGCTCCATCTGCTTAGTGAACAAATCACAGAGCTTTATCTGCTTTGTGGGCCAATCAGGGCACTCTATATGCCTGGTGGGTGGGATGATGCAACAGAGTGAAACAAGATGGTGACAGCTCAATTGAAACGGCTTTTACATCAATTTGGATTATTAGAACTTGGGCTTCATTAGAATCAGGAACAGATAGATGTATTCAAGTGCTTTTATTTAGAAAAAATTACGTTTTTTCTCCTTCTTCAACTGCGGACCGCCTCATTTACCGATAGCTGTTGCGGTGAGTATGTCACATTCATTGTCCAGTAGCATGCAGAGATCGTTTGAAAGACAACGGTTGAACCCGCTCCACAACCGAAAGCCGTCAATGGAGCGTTGCCAGACTAAATAATACAATTTATTTAAGCTAAGAATCAGTTAGATTTAAATGAATTCTAAAGTCAGTGTTAAGTACATTAGAATTAAAGTGTTAAAACAGCAAAAGCAGGACAGACAGTGATGTAGTTGGAGGATATGAGCCTTTTTTCAATGCACTGCGACTCAGCTATAAACAATTCTGTCTCAATTAACAAATGTTCATAATCCATCCATCCATCCATCCATCATCCGCGTATCCAAGAGGCAGCAGCTTAGCTACCTGTCGTGTGAGAATCTTTGAGGTTGGGGGCGGGGCGAGTTTTGTGTTGTGCCAGAATACAGGGGGTCACAAGAAGCGATTAACGCCTCACGACCAGCTCCCAATCAGTAATCGGGCAGTCGCTTGAATTCTCTCCACCTTCGTGAATGTTGCTGAAGCAGCGCTGCGACCCAAAAGTAACAGAACTGCTCACACATTGCATGCGCCAACATGGCTGCCCAGCTATTTCCATGTCCATTCACGTTGTCCCGTTGCTTTTACACATTTCTCTGCGCACAACGGCAGGGATTGTCTGGAATGCGTGTTTGCAGTGTTCATTCAAATAAAATGGATCCCAGAACATCGGTTTACTTCCTGTCATTCGTCTTCCTCCTCCAACCCTCACACACCCCCACGTGTCCTCCTACAACAATGACAAGCCTGATGGAGAACACACCTTAGTAACAGCACAACCATCTCCAGATCTTCCAGGTTTTCGGACTCGAAGGTCTGACTTGTTGCACTACCATTTCTAGCATCTTTTTAGGTCCTACAAATTACTACAGAGTGTGAGCGGTCAGGTTGCATCTTTTTCAATAAAGATTCACACCATTTGGAGTGCCTTGGATCCCCCTTGGTTTCTTTCTCACCTACACTGGAGGTTTAAGGCAATCGTGAAGACCGCTCATTACATGTCTCCTGATCCAACTGGACTTCTTTGGTTTCTTGAAGGCACTTGCTTCCCATCCGATCAGCTTTGTCAGTTCTGACTGGAATATGAGAGAGTCAAGCTTATAAGCTGCAGCTGCCTATTGTTGCTTAACAAGCAGAAACTACCCATGAATACCCCTCCACCCTACTCCCTGGGGAGCCGTTGAAGTCGTTAGGCTTCATTGTGTGAGAATTGTATCGATTAGATGCAAGAGGATGTGACCTAGACTGAAACTGTTTGGGAATGAAGCCTGAGTCATGCTTCTGCGTCTGCGTCAGTGCGGAGACACGCAACGCCGTTATCCGTCCTGGCGAGCCTGCTGGAGAGCCCCCGCAAGGACGGACAGACGGAGTCGAGCTCTCTTTTCTAAACATCCGTCCGTCGAGAAGGAGAACGCAAGCTTGTGATTGGTCAGGGCACCGCTGTCATCTACACCGCCGCCATTGTGCCTTCAAAAACATAAAGAGAGCCGAGGATATCTAGCGGCAGACACGGAGCAGCTTGAAGAATACCTCGCGACAAAACTCTAAAAATATGAACGTGTAATTCCTCCGTGACTGGAGGAGTGAAAAAATGCGCAGCAAGCGTTTTATTTGTGGACGGAAATGACAGGAAACGTGGGTTTAGAGGTGGCGAGCGCATGAAGAGGTGGAGGAGGATGAGAGACAAATTTGCCAGTGTTAAAAAGTCTCTCATATACAAAAAACACAATATAAACACACTATCTTGGACCGGATACATGACAGGATACCACAGAACAGCGCTACGCCCTCTGCTGTCCTGGCGGGGAATTGCTTTGCAACACTCTCCAGGAAACGGAGATGTGTGACGGCAAAATGTCTCCATCCGTGCGTCTCTCCCTTTTGGAGCTGACGGAGAAGCACGAATCAGGCTTTAGGTCCAGAGCTGCCTTATAGGCGATAGAAGGGTGAAACCTGAGGCCTCCTCTCTTTAGTGAAGGTTTTTCCCGTTAGACACAGATCGCTTCCTTTACTCCTCTCTCAAACCATCTGTCTTATCTGTCCAGAGTGTCTTCTTCGTCATCTGCAAAAATCCTTGTCCACAAGTCCCTTGCACTACTGAAAAACTTGCAGTGGTGGGCAGTCAGGGCCAGCAAAGCCTTCTCTGCTGGCCTAAACATACTCAAAAGCATAAATGTATTTTTTTTTCCTTTGGTGATTATTTTTAAATAAAAAAATGTTTACTGGTCTATTTTCTTTATATCCTATTATACCCACTTGGCTGTGCTGCTTCCAGTGTTAAAATACCAAGGCTTGGTGTTATCCAATCAGATTTAAGCTAGCTTGTGTTTTCAGGCAGATTAAGTCTGCTCTAGGCCTTCAGAATCAATCGAGAAGCCCACTGTCCGCTGTAAGTGAACGGAGACGATCTAGTTGCGATAGCCAATCAGCTCACGAGTCAGCTTGGCCCGGGCCAGCTAGCTGGCCTCACGCAAAAGTTGACATGAACGCATCCTGTGATTGGATGAGCAGTAGTTAGAACTTTTCTAGCGGCATGAAGCAAAATATCAAAACTAAACACAGAGATTTGTATCTATAGGCAGCTATCGGTGTGTTTTTGAACACATGATGGCTGAAAGAGGAGAAGGGACGGACTTGGTTGCAGATTTACTTGCCACACCATTTTCAAGACGGACCTTTCAAGAAAAAATGGATCTTGTGAGAACAGGTCGTCCGACTCCAACGCTAGCTGGCTTGTCCCAGCAGGGGAAAGGATTTGTTCGTCATTTTCAGGCAAGCAACTATGAACGGTACCCATGGCTAACAGCTTCAGAGAACCGCTGCAGGCTATTCTGCTGGGAATGCCTGTTGCTCGCATCAGATGGATTTGGTAGCATTAAAGCGCGTTAAAACGTACGCCAGAAACACGACCGGGCAGATACGGCTTTCAGCATTAGCCTCCATGTCCGTAGAAAAGGATCCACTCATGGACCTGAAGCACACAGATAAACTGTACAGAGCCACTGAGGTTTTCCTGAGGAAAGAAAGAAGGATGGATTTTATTTTCTAATGAGCAGGAGAGGAGGAGATCCATGCTGGACATTTATGTTGGTGAGTAGAAACATTTTATTAGTATTTTTTTAATGTTTTGTCATTTTATTTTGTTAATAATCAATAAATGGTAACGAAATAAAATGGCAAAATGAAATTATTCTGTGTTCTGTTTCTACGCAATTTATATTGTGAATGACGTGGTGTGCGCAGCTGCGCCAACATGTTCAATTGTTTCGCGGTGCCATTTTCTCCAAAACAAATGCAAATAATGTGTTTGCTTTACTTATTTATTTTATTGTCTCATCTCTTAAACCCGTCTTTCATTTCTGGGATTTGACGGTATCCGTGGTCAGCTTCCTACTCTCAACTGGGAATGCGAGTTTGATTTTAAAGACTCTGGAAATTATGTGTCTTGACCAGCCACTGGTGTGTGTGTGTGTGTGTGTGTGTGTGTGTGTGTGTGTGTGTGTGTGTGTGTGTGTGTGTGTGTGTGTGTGTGAGGTTTCTCCAGCTGTGATGTCCTGTTGATGGTATTTTAAGGTGTATTAAATTAGATTGGACTGAATAGGAAATCACTGAAGGCCCAGGGGTGGAACGCACCGCCCGCCACTGAAAACTTGACTGTGCTGTGTGGTGTGCAGTGAATGGGTGAGGGTTTTGGTGTGTGTAATTTTGATGTGCGAAAGCTGTGGTTTTAATCTATATTTAAAGACTGAAGGCAGAGAGGAAAAATCTGACGCCCTGGTAACCTTGAGTGGCTAGCAACAAACCCCCACGAAGGAATGCAGACCGATGCTGTGAAAACCCGACCTAACCCCCCACCCACCCCCCACCCCACCCACACCCCCCGCCTTCGGATTGGTGGACTTCAGCCGGGCGAGGTCATCAATCTGCAGGAGTCAATGTGCTCTTTGCTTCTCCCAAGATCTCCCTCCCACCTGTGACTGCACAGTAGATGAGCGCCGTAGATGGTTGCTCTCGCTGGGGGAAACAGGATCCCAGCCCCCCCCACCCCCACCCACCCCCCTCCCCGCCTTCCTACTGGAGTCTCATGTTATGTTGTGTTGTCTGAAGTCTGTTGCACATTTGTTGAGATGTTTTTTTTGCAGGGCAAAGCTGCCCTCCTGGTGGAGGGTAACTCTGAAGTGCCTTTTTTTCCCTCCACCTGAACCAATCCTCATGTAAACCTCTTATCTCTATTAAGGTAGCGCGACTCGGGTTGCGAATGACCACAGTCACCAATTCTTGTCATGTGTCTATGTATGTATGTCTGATCTCTGAATTGTGTGTACTGAAACTCTAATTTCCCTCAGGGATTAATAAAGTATTGATTGATTGATTGATTGATTGATTGATTGATTGATTGATTGATTGATTGATATACAATGTTGTTTTTATGTAAATCACTTTGAGCTGATTTTATCATGAAAAGATCTCTACAAATAAAATATGATTTGATTAGACGTCAGCAAGTGCTTTTCTGCTAGTAAATAACTTCCCTTCCTCTGGTACAAAACGTTCGAAAAATACATTTTCTGTTTATTTATAGTTTTAATTGTGATCTGGGGTATTTTACATTTTTCACACTTTATTAGAAATTATTGTCATTGAAAGGATGTTTTTGAACTCTTCAGATTTCTGAATAAGGCCCAATAATCCCTTCATCCAATCTATGATGAAGCCCTAAACATTTTAGTGAAAGCTTTGATTTTAGCAGAGGGGGGTAGGAAGATGCATAACCACATCTGAACCCTCTGGATGGTACTCGGATTGAATCGTGAGGAGGCTAAAGATTCCCACCCCTTTATTCGTGTAGATGGAGATTCCCGCGCTTACGTCTCACCCACAATGCTCCTCTTTATGTCATCACTCTGCACCTGCGGCAGCCGGCCGTCTTTTGCAGCTTGAGCCCGTTTAAAAGGCTAAAAGTCTATTCCTTATCACAGCTGCTGAGTTTCTTTTCCCATAGACGTCCAGCAACTCTATTTATCGTTAGGGATCCTCGTTGGTCTGCACCCACAATAATCCAGACCACGTGTTTCTGCTACAGAAGCAGAAAGGCTAGTTTACCAGTGAAGAACATGAATTCTACTATTGCCACCACGGTGCAACAACCATGAAGACAAAGTCTTTAAGCTGACACAATAAAGGACTTATAACCTGCATGAGACGGGGCTGTCCTCCAGCACTGAGGGGTCTGCAGGGGAGGGTGGTCTTCTCAGCCACTCTCAGCCACTTTTCCCTCACTGATCCACCTCCATCCATCAAGCTGTCCTCTGATTCACTCTCCTGATCTCTGCTGGAGGGATTCTCCTCCTCAGGGATGTGGACTAGCTGAGAGGATCCCGGTCGAGATTGGATAGAAGCTCTGGCCCCTCCTGCCATTCCAGTGCTGCCGTTATGTGCCAGGTGATTATGATTGTTTATCGGTACAGAGCTAGCTGCCAGCTTCATGTACTGAGCTGGGATGTGGGCCCCAACTCGCATGTCTGCTTCCTGGCCAGAGGCTGAGGGATTGTGGGTTCCACCGTGGAGCTCTATCTCCAGGCCCATGGCAGAGGGCTCAGAGGAGCAGCGGAGCTCCACGTTTCTCTGGGGAGATGAGGAGGAAGGTGGCCGTATCCCATCCATCACCTGCAGTGACAGCTTTCTGTTGTCATTTTTATTTTTCCATTGGCTGAGTAGCTGTTTGGATCGAGTTGAGTCCATTGAGGTGTGGATGGAGGCATGACGGCGTGGAATACGACCCTCCTCCACAGAGGAACCACCATGGGACCTCAAGGGAGACAAAATGAATAAGAATAGATATGAGAAACGTTAGAAACAGCCAAGTTTGTCATTATATCACTGCTGTTCCAGCAACACCCCATAGTTATAGGTCTATCCTTCTGTGTGTGTGTGTGTGTGTGTGTGTGTGTGTGTGTGTGTGTGTGTGTGTGTGTGTGCGCGTGTGGGCGTGTGTGTGTGTGTGTGTGTGTGTGTGTGTGTGTGTGTGTGCGCGCGCGTATGGGCGTGTGGGTGTGTGTGTGCGTGTGTGTGTGTGTGTGTGTGTGTGTGTGTGTGTGTGTGCGTGTGCGCGTGTGGGCGTGTGGGTGTGTGTGTGCGTGTGTGTGTGTGCATGTGAGTGTGTTTGTGTGTGTGTGAGTGTGTGTGTGTGTGTGTGTGTGTGTGTGTGCGCGTATGGGCGTGTGGGTGTGTGTGTGCGTGTGTAGGTGTGTGAGTGTGTGTGTGTGTGTGTGTGTGTGTGTGCGTGTGCGCGTGTGGGCGTGTGGGTGTGTGTGTGAGTGTGTGTGTGTGTGTGCGCGCGTGTGTGCGTGTGGGTGTGCGTGTGCGTGTGTGTGTGTGTGTGTGTGTGTGTGTGTGTGTGTGTGTGTGTGTGTGTGTGTGAGTGTGTGTGTGTGTGTGTGTGTGTGTGTGTGGGTGTGCGTGTGTGTGCGTGTGTGTGTGGGTGTGCGTGTGTGTGTGTGTGTGTGTGTGTGTGTGTGTGTGTGTGTGTGTGTGTGCATGTGAGTGTGTTTGTGTGTGTGTGAGTGTGTGTGTGTGTGTGTGCGTGTGTGTGTGTGGGTGTGCGTGTGTGTGCGTGTGTGTGTGTGGGTGTGCATGTGAGTGTGTTTGTGTGTGTGTGAGTGTGTGTGTGTGTGTGCGCGCGTGTGTGCGTGTGGGTGTGCGTGTGCGTGTGTGTGTGTGTGTGTGTGTGTGTGTGTGTGTGTGTGTGTGTGTGTGTGTGTGTGTGGCAACCCCTTACACCATATGTGATGCACACTGTTAGATGTTCATGGCAGGCTGTTTTCTCTCTCTAGGACTCGTAAAGCTTCGAGGCGTTTGGTGCTAGCGTTTCACATCTTAATTATCTAATATCCCACATTAGGAGACGTTATTTTCAGCATCATCACATCAGATTAAACGAAACAAAAACTTTGTATTTTTTTTACTTTTGTTCTATTTGTTTTTGTAATTTTTTTTATTATTATTTTTGCAATTCTGACCCAGGAGAGAGAAAGAACTCTCACTGAAGTAAAGTAAATCTCCTGTTTGACTCAAGTCCTCTAGAACAGTGACAGGAGGCAGTTTTTTCTGTCACTGCAGACTTCTGGCACAAACATCTACCTTGGCAAGGTGCTGCTGCTGAAGGTCATCATGTTGTCTCGGCTTCCTGGTGGACTGGATGACGTGATCACCTCTACCTCAGCGCTCGCTCTCTTTAGGTTGCTCAAAGATGGCTCTCGGTAGGAGGAGCTGCGTGTCAAAATGGGCACTGGACGGTCAGGGGACAGGGCATGAGAAAGGGTCCTCGTCAGGATGGGCTTTTGTGGGCTGGGAGCCAGGGTGTGGTGGCCTATCAGAGCAAAAGTTAGAATTCAGTTCCTTTTATTTACATAGCGCCACACCAGAGCCGTCTCAAGGCACTTTACAATGAAAATATCCCAACTGAACCAAGACCCTAGTCAGAAATCTCACAACACTTCCCGAAGTCAACGTTCCAACACAGTTCAGTTCATTAAGTCAATCAGTAAACAGTTTCCTAAATTAGGAATCCTGCAGATTGCATCGAGTCACTGACTTGTTGTGTCAGAGACTTTACAGCAACCCCTATACTAAACAAGCACGTAGCGACAGTGGAGAGGAAAACTCTCAAACTGGTTTCAATGTCAAACTCCACAAAAAATGAAATTTAAATGATCAAAGACATCCATGTGCTTTTAGTTGTGGGAGCATATTTCACACTGAGGATCTCCTGCTGCCAAGTTCAATCATAAATCAATCATAAATAAACAACAAATAAGTATGTTTTTATATAACATTTCTATCCGATGCTTTTGTTATTTAAGGCCAGATTAAAATTTTAGGATTTTTAGGAAAGCAGCAGATTTATGAATACAGATGTTTTTCTGCTGGTGCTTGGGTGAAGAGATATCCGTAGGCAGCGTTTTACCTTGGTGGCTGTTGCTAACTGCTGACTGGCTGACATTGGGGAGGGAGGAAAGGGGTGGCTCTCTCAAAATGGGACCAGGCAGTCGACTTCTGGAGCAATCTTTGCTCGGCTGGAAATTGCTGACCGTGTAAACACCCTGCATTTCACACACACAGTAAAAAGGGTACGTGTAAGTCAGCTGTTTGGTATTTGATTCTTTTTTTTTTTTCTTTTTTGGTGGTGGTGGTGGGGGAGATTAGTCTATGATGCCAGGATGAAGATGTTTTAGGTTTAGAGACTGGGGACTCAGTCCTCAACCAGGAACTGGTGGACAGTCATCTCCAGGTTGGGAATGATCCAGCGTCCAACATGGAGGGGTTTCAGTGTCTTGGGGTCTGGTCTGTGGAAGAAGGTGAATGGGAGATTGACAGGGTGAATGGTGCTGCCTGCAGTGAGGAAGAGACCAATCTACCAATCAACCTGCATTTTACTCTGATGAAGTGTTGAAACGTTAGTATACCGTTCTTACCCGTTAAAACTTTTCTCTCACTTTGGGAACTCCAGCCTTCCTCCTTACTTTTGCAACCTACATTTTAACCCTCATCTATGTCACCCATGGAAACAGGTCCTAGGTGAGGGACCAGACAAAGCGCAGCCCACATACCCCTTATAACAGCAAATTTCAATGGAAACGGGGTTCCCTCACCCTGAGGCAGGTCACCGGGGCCCCCCTCTGGAGCCAGTCTGGAGTTAGGGCACTCGGCGAGCGCCTGATGGCCGGCCTTTCACCCATGGAGCCTGGTCGGGCACAAGCCGAAGAGCAAACACGGGCTCACCAATTGTGGGAGGGGCCAAAGTGGTTGGGTGGCAGGAGGGCAGCAAGCTTTTCAAAAGTGAGGGTGTTGAGATTTCTTTGATGTACATATACATATACATATATATATATATATATATATATATGTATATGTATATATATATATATATATATACATATACATATATATATATATATATATATATGTACATATACATGTATACCGGTATATATATATATATGTATATGTATATGTACATATATATATACATATATATATATATATATATATATATATATATGTATATGTATATGTACATATACATATATATATGTATATGTATATGTACATATACATATATATATATATGTATATGTACATATACATATGTTTATATACATATATATGGATGACTGGTTGTGTTGTAAAGCGCCTTGAGGGGTTCCAGGACTCTAGAAGGCGCTACATCAAATACAGGCCATTTACATATATATATATATACATATATATATATATATATATATATATATATATATATATATATATATATATATATATATATATATATATATATAAACAAGCATCTGGTGGCTGGGCTGTCTCTCAGAGAGGGTGAGAATCTCAGTCATCTGGGAGGGGCTCGGAGAAGACCCGCTGCTTCTCCAAATCGAGAGGAGCCAGTTGAGGTGGCTCGGGCATCTAGTTAGGATGCCTCCTGGACTCCTCCCTGGTGAGGTTTTCCGGGCACGCCCAACAGGGAGAAGACCTAAAGGACAGCCCAGGACACACTGGAGGAACTATGTCTCTTGGCTGGCCTTAGGATTCCCCCGGAGGAGCTGGCCCAAGTGGCTGGGGAGAGGGAAGTCTGGGCCTCTCGGCTTAGGCTGCTGCCCTCGCGGTCCGACCCTGGATAAGCAGCCAAAGGTGGAAGGATGGATGGATCTATGGCAACAAGCTCTGACTAATGACAAAAACAGACCAGATCACTGATGAAAGCATCATCTGCTGATGTGCTGAAGATTCCAGGGGAGTTCCAAATAGAGTCACTGCTCCTCCGTATCAAATCAGGCTGTTGAGGTGGTTTGGGCGTCTGACGAGGATGCCTTCAAGATATTTCCCAAGGGAGGTGTTTCAAACATGTCCCACCAGGAGAAGACCTGAGGTTAGACCAGGATCAGATCTCACAGCTGGCCTGGAAATGCTTTCAAGGAGGTAGATGTAGGGATCATCCTTGTGGCCAAGTTCCTTAACCCTCTCAAGCTCAAAATAGGTTTTGATAAAAGGACATACAACTAAGTCCTTCAGGGGTACTTCTGAGTTAAAAAATGCTCATGAAATACATATGAGTAACCAGGTAGGTAGGTTTTAACGTTGCAAATCTACAACGCCTGCCTCCAGAGAGTTAAAAGCAACAGTGGATGTGTGGATAGACAGAGGAGTAGATGGGTGGATATATGAATTTCTATTCTTGTCTTTCGAAAGTGTCTCACATCTCATCTTTCAACTGAGAGAGGTCCTTGAATTAAAAAACATCTTTAAAATGAGGAAAATAAGTCCAGACACCTCTTAAAAACAGGAACAAGTTCTAGAGAGTAAGACAGGACGACGTTGCAGGGAAGAAGGTTGAGCTCCTTGTCGAGATGAACAGATCTAGAAGCTACATTTTGCTTTCAGTTAGTGGCCATCCTCGCTTTGTTGTAGCACAGCAAATATGGGTCAGCTGCACATGTTTTATTAATCAGCGCCTCCAGGATTTTCTGACTGCTGCAGCCTTAAAAATGTGTGACTTATCGAAGTCTTTTTCAAAAATTTTTTAATGAAATAACTTACAAAAGTAACTGCAAACCTTCCGCGTAACTTTTCCACAAAAGGCCTGGGATTTCAACAGGAACGATGTTTAAAATGACACCAGCTAATCAGTTTAAAACCACAATAAAAAATACAAACGTGCCAAACCAAGGATGCACCGTCACGGTCAGGATGGAGGAGGTGTAAACCAAAATGCAGAACCCAGAACGACTCAAGGCAGGAGAAGTCTTCAAAAGAAAATGTTTTATTTTAAAGGAGGATGCGTCAAAATCCAAAAGGCACTAAAACACGAACCAAACTTAATCTTACCAAAAAACAAACAGAAACTCATTCGTGAGCACGGACTAGGAAGACATGAATATGGTGCGGTATGGGGGCCAAAATTAAGACTACTGCCCAGCAGCAGGAGGCTATATAATTTCTGAAGCAAACTACCGATCTGATTAATGATAAGCTGGCACCGGTAACTGAGAGGCTGGCGCTGCTTACTGAGAAAAAGCACCTTTACCGGCGTTATTACTAGATACGCTAGGGACAAGCAGCCCTCGGCTGGTCATTGACTGGTTCACACACTCCCTCTGCTGTCTATTAGCATGGATAGGCTAGCGTTAGCCTGGACGGGCTGGTGTTAGCATTGGAGAGGCTAGCCATTAGCGTGCCTAGGCTGGCCACTAGCTGGATTTCCTACCTCCTCGACGGACCATTAGCATGGATAGGCTAGCGTTAGCCTGGACGGGCTGGTGTTAGCATTGGAGAGGCTAGCCATTAGCGTGCCTAGGCTGGCCACTAGCTGGATTTCCTACCTCCTTGACGGACCATTAGCATGGATAGGCTGGCGTTAGCTAAAGGTCCATAAACTGTGACCTTAAGGTTAGGATTGGGGTGAGGGGAAGGTTAAGTAGTTCACAAGTAGTTCTAATATCCGTCTCAGCACCGGCATTGGATACCGACGCACTGGGACGCTGCGTCACCAGTGTGTCCCTGATCGTCGTCTCCTGACGCGCTGGGGCGTCCCCAATCGTCATATATTGAGGTTTGGTCACACGCGTCGTATTTTGACGCCTTGGGTGTGAGAATGTGTTGATTAAACTTCCGCTTCCCCATAGCACAAGCTCCCACTAGCTTAATCAGCTAATGTGCTCATCTAAAAATAGCCCCCCCTTCACAACCAGCTGAATGTGTACGGTTCCGCTTACGCCAACATCGTACATAAAAAAGCTGAACACCAACTAGAAAATCACAACAATTTTATAGAAATAAAAGAATCTCTTTTATTGGGTCTTTGGTAATTTAAGACCTTTGGAAACTGTATTTATGGATTAGTTGTCATTTTAAAGGATTTTTAGGGCCTTAGATTTGGAAAAGCAAATTTAAGACTTTTTAAGGACCCGCGGATACCCTGCACTTAGTAGATTTTACTTTATTTTTGATAAATAACTATTTTAATAATATGTATTAAATCTTACATAAAAAGTATTATCGCATGTCTACTTGGGCCAAGAATATTTTTTGAGTGCAGAGTGAAGTCCATGAGGGTGGAGGCAGCATCCTGTGGTTGGACATGACCTGCAGAAAAGACAGTGACGTCCTGGTGGTCTTCACCACTCTCTGCAGGTGTTTGTGTTCCAACGTAGTGGTGCTGTTGGTGCAGCTGCTCTCAATACAACAGCTTAAAAGTCTGTGAAGTTGGTGTTCAACATACCAAACCTCCTCAGATTCATAAGGACTGCAGCTGTTGTAGAGCCTTCTGCACCAGAGGGGTGACTTTTCAGGTATTTAAACCAGCTCAGCTTCTACACTTCAAGCTCCTAAAGAACAGTGACCAGCGAGGACATGAAGCAGCCATATTCAGTGGGTGATGATGGTGATGTGAGTGAAGGCCTGTTTCTGTGCAGGCCGCTTCTCAGGCTGCGGTGCATCCAGCATATTCAGCTGTGACATGTCTGGGTTCAGACGCAACCATGAAAATAAAACAACCCGCTGCACATACATGCTCAGATTTTAGCAAACCTGTTCAGGCTAAAATATAAAAATAATCAAGTGTGTTAAAAACCAGCTGGTAGTTACCAGGTAAACAGCGATGGCAGCTCCTAGCAGCCACCCACAGTAGACGTCCACAGGGTGGTTTCTGAACTGAATGATCCTGGTTAGTCCAGCCAGGATGGCCAGCATGGTGAAAGAGAACACCAGCAGAGGCTTCAGCAGCTTGGCCGAGTCTGTCAGCACCGCGTTGAAGTACATCTGAAAGACGAATGCCAAAAACATGACTGGGTCTGTTAGTTATGCTGATAATGTGTTCTGGTGACACGGTCAAGAGGTGAAGAGACGACTTACTGAGATGTAGACGGCAGCAAAAGCAGACAGTGTGGCGTGCTGAGAGGGGAAAGACTTTCTAAAAGACAAAAGGAAAGAGGCTGACTGTTCCAGACACTGATTATCGTGCTCAGTTATATAAAGACAACGATGCAACGGGGAGGCTGTTTGCTGTTTGTCTAGTGCCAGTTCTGTTGAGAGGGTGCTCGCTGCAGAACTACAAAGGCGGAGCTGCACCATAAGGTGGAGCTGCACCAGAGTCAACCCCGCCCATTCACGCAAACTCAGCCTAGCCCACTGACTTCCGTTTTTGTTTTCAACTTTATCGCAAACTGACCTGACCCACATGAATTACGGCTGTTACTAGTTTACAGTCGTTAATGCTATGTTCTGTGCTCCAATTAAACAAGATAAATATAACTTGCTACATGACAAAGTCTGAATATATCCCGAAATAAAAAGGTTTCTCGTAGCGAATATCTGCCCACAGCCGCTCTAACAAAAGTCCTGTACAACAGCATGTACCCTTCCTGTGGGTTCTGGTAGTCCAGTGGCAAGATCGTCTGACTAACGTTTTGCTTTCCCCTCAGCTGATGCTGGTTCGATTCTCGGTGGGGTCGGCAACAATCTATTCAGCCAGCTGAAACATTTAATTTGTTCATATTTTAGTTGTAATGTTCATTTATAGCAAAATATTTATGTCTCTACAAGTTCTTTGAATTTGGTCGTTCCTAAACAGCATTTTAGTTGAAACTCTGCTCACAGATGGACTCACACTGGCTAAATAAACGAATGAATAAATAAAAAAAACACATTAGTCATTATATGTTAAACGGCATACCAATAAATTGTTGTAAACATAGTACTGGCAAGTGTAGCTAGAAATCAGCCCCGCCCATCCTATCGGAGTCAGTCCAATTCCTTCCAGTTGTCAGACTTGATAGCATTCTGGAAACAAAGAGGGTGTTATAGCTAAAAAATGCAAGATTGAGGAGGGAGTTGAGAAGTTAATTGAACAGTTTTTGTAAAGGTTCCATATAATTAAAAATCTAACTTTTGGAACTTTTAATCATGTTATATTGTCATTTCCTCATAAGAAACACGCCAAAGCCATTTTTGGCCTCATTCATGCATTTTCTTCCCATCTCAGCTTCAATTTGGTCTCCTCCCCCAAAGTGGGTCTGGTCTTGGTTCTCAAATCTGGATATTCTGTGAATTTTCTGACAATTTATTTCTGAAATGACTTCTACTGAGACACCGCCAGAAAAATCATACATCCCATCTACAAAGACACACCAAATAACATAATAAAATGTAACGCCACCTGATTTTTATCAGATGTGGTGGTGTAGTGGTAATGGTGTCAGGTTGACATGCAGTTTTGCGCAGGTTCGCCTCCCAGCAGTGGAAATATTCTATAATCTCTTTTCCTCATTTCTAGCTACACTTGCCAGTACTATGTTTACAACAATTTATTGGTATGCCGTTTAACATATAATGACTAATGTGTTTTTTTTATTTATTCATTCGTTTATTTAGCCAGTGTGAGTCCATCTGTGAGCAGAGTTTCAACTAAAATGCTGTTTAGGAACGACCAAATTCAAAGAACTTGTAGAGACATAAATATTTTGCTATAAATGAACATTACAACTAAAATATGAACAAATTAAATGTTTCAGCTGGCTGAATAGATTGTTGCCGACCCCACCGAGAATCGAACCAGCATCAGCTGAGGGGAAAGCAAAACGTTAGTCAGACGATCTTGCCACTGGACTACCAGAACCCACAGGAAGGGTACATGCTGTTGTACAGGACTTTTGTTAGAGCGGCTGTGGGCAGATATTCGCTACGAGAAACCTTTTTATTTCGGGATATATTCAGACTTTGTCATGTAGCAAGTTATATTTATCTTGTTTAATTGGAGCACAGAACATAGCATTAACGACTGTAAACTAGTAACAGCCGTAATTCATGTGGGTCAGGTCAGTTTGCGATAAAGTTGAAAACAAAAACGGAAGTCAGTGGGCTAGGCTGAGTTTGCGTGAATGGGCGGGGTTGACTCTGGTGCAGCTCCACCTTATGGTGCAGCTCCGCCTTTGTGGTTCTGCAGCGAGCACCACTTGGTTCTGTTTGGAGGGTGCTAGTTTTGTGCTGAGCTCCAGAGAATGTGTATGTGTGTATAATAATAATAATAATAATAATAATATATCACAAATAATGATAAAACACAGTGTTTTCTTTTAAAAACCCTTCAAATGTGACAGTTATGACTCTGGAGGATCACCCCCTTCACCAGATTTTTAAGGATCTCGGGAGCTCTTCCAGTGGGCGAATGTTAATGCCCCGGTGCTCCACTGAACGTTTTATGAACTCTTTTATTCCAGCTGCAGTGCGTTTTTACAATGAGCATTTCATATGATTGTATATTTGATATTTTTATCATGATTGTGGCTTGTAGCAGTGACCAGTGAATGTTTTATTGTGTGGATGTGCATGTTGTTTTTACTTGTCCAAGGCAATTCAATTTCCCCCTTGGGGATTAATAAAGACAACCTTGAACCTTGAAATGTGTCATTATTCTCTGTTTTACTGTAATTAATAGATAAATCATATCAACGGTGATACAGTCAAGCTGTTATACACTCTGCATATGACCAGAAGAATAAACAGTGACAAAGTTACGCAGGATCTGAGATATTAAATCATTCACATTATTAATTAAATGAAAATAGGTGAGGGTTTCCTTAGAGGCACTGCTGATAAATAGCCAATGTTTCTGAGCACACCAGACAAACAGGATCTCTAACCCTCTAAACGACAAATGAACATGTGGGAGTCCATCCAATCTAAAAAAAAATCTCTGTTTTCATTTAACGACAGCCGTGTCACTGTGCGTCTCTCACTTCTGGTGAAGAAAGTGCTGCTGTCAGCCACTGCTGCTGCGGTACACGAGTAGTGATTATTACCAGTGTTTAAAGGAAACATCTGGGCTCCATTAGAGGCTGGGTTTGGACCACGGTCCGCTCTAAATGGAATGAAGCTTTCCATGTTTCCATGGAATGTTTAAATATCTTCCATGTTGAAATAATATTGACGACGTAGGATTATGTTTGATTTCAGCCATGTTGAAAGTCTAGTTTCTAACACTTCTATAGAATGTTGAACTTTTTCCTTGTTGTAAATATTACTAAGATTTTTTTAAGTGAAAAAATAAAAGAAACAGCCACTATCAAAATTGCTCTGAGATCTCAATCCATCCATTTATCTATTTTCCTCTGCTTATCCGGAGTCGAGTCGCGGGGGCAGCTACTTGGGCCAGCTTCTCCGGGAAAATCCCAAAGCATTCCCTGGCCAGCTGAGAAACATAGTCCCTCCAGCGTGTCCCGGGTCTTCCTTTAGGTCTTCTCCTGGTTGGACATACCTGGAAAACCTCACCAGGCAGGCGTCCAGGAGGCATCCTAACCAGATGCCCCCAACCACTTCAACTGGCTCCTCTCCATATAGAGGAGCAGGGGATAAACTCAGAGCCCCGCCCATATAACCGAACATCTCACCCTATCTTCAGCTGTAGATCAGGCTCTGATGAAGGCAACAGGACCATATCATCTGCAAAAAGCGGGGAGTCAATCCTTAGGCCACCAAAATGGATCCCCTCACCACCTTGGCTGTGCCTACGAATCCTGGCCATAAAAGTTATGAACAGAATCAGTGACCAAGGGCAGCCTTGGTGGAGTCTAACTTTCAGGAACAACTTACTGCTGGCGATGCGGACGAAGCTCTGACACGATGATACAGGGACCTACCTAACAGCCGGTATCGAGGGGCCCGGTACCCCATACACCTAGAGTATCCCCCACAAGGCCCCCAAAGGGACATGGTCAAACACCTTCCCCAATTCCACAAAACTCATGCAGATTAGTTACATAAACTCCAACACACCCTCCAGGACCCCCAAGGGTACTGAGCTGATCCAGTGTTCTATGGCCAGGACGAAAACCACATTGCTCCTCCTGGATCCGAGGCTCAACAATCCAACAGACCTTCCTCCTCAGAACTCCTGGATAGACCTTACCAGGGAGTGAGATCCCTTTGTAGTTGGAACAAACCCTGCGTTCCCCCTTTTTTTAGGAAAGTAAAGTAAAAAGTACCCAATATGAAAAGTGTATAGAGCACATATTTACCCCCCTGAAACGCCAGATGGTTGACCAGAATGTTCTGAAAGCCATACAGATGTCTTGCTCCATGGCTCCACAGAACTCCTCCCACGCCCAGGTTTTTGCCACCATGACTACCTGAGCTGCTTGGATCGCTGTTACCTATCAGCTGCCTCTGGAAACTCGCAAGCCAAAAGAACCAGATAGGACTCTGTCTTCAACCTGACAGCATCCCTAACCACCGGTGTCCACCAACGTGTTCAGGGGTTGTCACCACAACAGGTACCAACCACCCTGCGGCCAAAGTGCAGGTGGGCCGCCTCAACAATGGGGCGTGAAATATGGCTCACTGAGACTCAGTGTCCCCTGCCTCCCATATTTAAAGTTCTGTTGGAGGCGAGAATTGAAGCTCCTTCTGACAGAAGGCTCCACCGGCCGTTCCCAGCAAACCCTCACAATCCCTGCTAGGTCTTACCGGTGTCTTCCCTCACCATCAAAGCCAACTCACCACCAGGTAGTGCTCAGTTGACAGCTCCGCCCCCTCTTCACCCGAGTGTCCGAGACAAGTGGTCCCAGATTTTGTCATTTCACTGTCATTAGATTGACATGTTGTAAATGTTATACAATAAACATGGAGGCGTGCCAGACGTCACAAATACAGTAATTCATAACAGCATAATTCATAACTAGGCACAGCCGTGGTGTGGGGTGTGTCAAGTTTGGTGGCAGGAGAATCTCGTCTCTGTTTTTTGCGGATGATGTGGTCCTCCTAGCTTCATCCAGCTCTGACCTTCAGCTCTTGCTGGGTAGGTTTGTGGCCGAGTGTGAAGCAGCTGGGATGAGGATCAGCACCTCCAAATCTGAGACCATGGTTCTCGACCGGAAAAGGGTGGCTTGCCAACTCCGGGTCAGGAAAGAGATCATACCTCAAGTGGAGGAGTTTAAGTATCTCGGGGTCTTGTTCACGAGTGAGGGTAGGAGGGATCGGGAGATCGACAGGCGGACTGGTTTGGCGTCTGCAGTGATGCGGACGCTGAGCCGATCTGTCGTGGTGAAGAGGGAGCTGAGCCAGAAAGCCAGGCTCTCGATTTACCGGTCGATCTACGTCCCAATCCTCACCTATGGTCATGAGCTTTGGGTAATGGCCGAAAGAACGAGATCGCGGATACAAGCGGCCGGAATGAGTTTCCTCCGTAGGGTGGCCGGGCTCAGCCTTAGAGATAGGGTGAGGAGCTCGGACATTCGGGAGGGACTTGGAGTAGAACGCTGCTCCTCCGGATCAAAATGAGCCAGTTGAGGTGGTTTGGGCATCTGGTCAGGATACCTCCTGGACGCCTCCCTGGGGAGGTGTTTCGGGCATGTCCTGCCGGCAGGAGGCCCCCGGGTCGACCCAGGACACGTTGGAGAGGTTACATCTCCAATCTTGTCCGGGAACACCTTAGGGCCCTGCCGGAGGAAATGGTGGAGGTGGCTGGGGAGAGGACGGTCTGGAGCTCCGCAGTTGGGATGCTGTCCCCATGACCTGGATTCGGATAAGCGGAGGAAGACGACAACGACAACGACGACATAACAGCCCAGCATCACCCAAGGAATTGAAGTAAATACAACATACTCACAGCAATTAGTGTACTTTTTTCTATAGCTGTACAAAAATGGATGGGACCACCGAGTTCTTCAGCCATTTAAAACATTTCCCCCTAATGATAGTAAGACAGCAAGTCCTTGTGCCTTGCAATGGTGGCTTACAGCACTGCTTTGTCATCATTCAGTCCCAATTGTCTCCTGTAATTCCTACATGTTACTTATTATTTTCATTTTCAGTCAATACGATTATTTAGGTCACTTTTGCGATTAATAGTGAGCAATTTTCATGACTTCACATGAAATGCTCACATTGTTTATGCAAAGGAAAAGCTAAAGGAATACTGCAAATCTAGGACAGAGACTGGTTACAACAGGTGGTGTCCCCCTTATCTAACTCTGGGGAATACGGCAAGAGATTCAGTTTGATTTAGGAGTGGAATTTCCCTTTAGATTACACAGATTACATCAAGTCTCAGGCTTTCTCAGACATCCACAGTCCGACAGAATAAAGCCTCACCTCCCAGCACTGATGAGACTCTGGTCCTGTCCAGAGCAGATATCCTCCAGGATAAAAGCTTCATCGCAGCTGGACATGTTAATGTGGGTCAAGTTGGGTTTGCAGACTTCCAGCCAGTAAGGCGTGTGCTGCCCCGTGGACAACTGAAGAATATCAGTTATGAGTGCTGTCACGCACAAGCCGAAAATATGGACTCCTGTGGAGAAGTAGATTTACAATAAAGATCAGAGATTCTGCACCAGAGGCCACATGTAAATTTAATACTGACATTGAGGCAGCATGAATCCATACATCTGTATGAAACTAAATCCAACTGAATCCAAGCACATTTCCATTGAACCGCCTGATTAGAATTAATATCAGTGTGAATATAAGAATACCATGTTCCTCCTGGTGACACAACTCCATTTAATGCACATACGTAGAAATGCCCTGCCCTGTGAATGAATAAATTTGCTTCCAGTTGAAATAAAAAATTTTATCTTTTGACTGTGCTTTTATATTGATGTGTACAGCTGATAGCTAAAAATAGATTGTGACCAAAATGCTTTGTGGGATGTAGCCCTAGACAAGCCTATGGGTCTGAGTCGCTCCACTTGTCTCACAGTCGCTCCACTTGTCTCACAGTTTGCCTCCTAAAGAGGCAATAAATAAAACTTTGATTGATTGATTGATAAAGATAAAGATGTTCAAACAGGAAGTAGCTAAGCACTGCTATAGAGCTCCGGGAGTTGACGTCACTTCTCCCGGCATGCAACAGTTCAAATCGAAACGGCGCCATATTGGCAGGCAGAAGCCCGCAGCTGGACTATTTGTTATTGTCAGAAAACTCAATCAAACGGGAAATACGGTAGATTCCTGTTGTGCCCCAGGATGCAGAACAGATGCGGACGACATAAGGAATGAGCCATCTACAGGATTCCCCAAGATCCGGAGCGCCGCAAACGTTGGATCATTGTAATAAAACGCGCTAGTGACCGGGCTAAAATGAAGCTGTGGGATCCCGAGAGTAAAGGTTTTCGCTTATGCAGCGACTGCTTCATATAAGGTACTTAAACCAACATTTCCTCAACTGTGTATGGTATTTATTTTAAATGCTTTTATTATGATTCTTAGTGGGCTTCCTAAACTTATTTTGGCGTGGCTTTTTCTGTCTTATTACTCACAGCAACAAGTAAGCATCACGTAAAACGTTGCCTCGTGAGTTCTGCGTGCTGCCGTTTACGTGTTTTATGATCACAGCAATTAACCGGCTAAGCTGTATTTAATTTTTAACCAATGGTTGATCAAGTGTCAGATCACACATAAAAAGCACTTTGGATTGCTATTATCTGTCTCACCGAGACCGATCTCAGACAGATCCTGAGATGCTCCTGCCTGACATATTTATTTTACTCATGGAAAAAAATCAAACTAGTGATTTCTCTTGGCGTTCAGTTTATACATTCAAACAGCACGGCACTCTATTTAAACTACTTACATGTAAATCTATGTTATTTGTCCATCCATCCATTTTCATCCGCCGATCCGAAGTCAGGTCGCAGGGGCAGTAGCCTAAGTCGAGAGGCCCAGACTTCCCTCTCCCCAGCCACTTGGGCCAGCTCCTCCAGGGAAATCCCAAGGGGTTCCCCACCAGGTCCGGTAAGAAGTCCGCTTCGACAGCTTCTGGCGTTTTTAAAAAGTATCCCAGGGGCACGGTAAGGGTCGGAGATGTTTAGTCTATTTAATTTCTGACTATAAAAAACGATTTCTTCGGTTTTAAAGCGTGAAGTAAACTCCGACGGAGTAAAATCCAAGCCGATCCCGTTCATTTTATTTACCTTTGTTGCCTGCCAACATGGCGTCTACTCTCTGAGAGTCGCGTGACGTCAGGAGCTCTATGGGGGGAGGTGCTAATCCGATACCCAGATCGGACGTCCGAGGAGACATTTTTTATCCATTTTCCAAAGCTCGGTAAGGTCCACAACAACATGAAACGGCTGGAACGGGACGAGATAAAGACAGATAAAACAAAGCGATGGTAGTGTTTATGTGGAAGAGCAGATTTTCACAACGTGGAGCCGATCCATGGGAGCGTGTTTATTTGTTACATGCATTATGCTGGATGGAAAAGTCCTACATTCGAGACCGACATGCTCTTTCAGATGTGGAGTTATCCAGGGGGCAGCGGTGTAAACAAAGGAGCCCAGCTGAATGAAAAGGCTTTAGACCAGAGGTGGGTAGGTTGTAAAAAGTAGTGACACAAATAGTAATCTAAGAGTACAAACTTAGAGAAAATGTTAGTTGAGCATTGTAAGTCATGACTGAACGTTTATCATGAGCCTTTGAACACGGTGTCTGTCGGGCTGTTTTATCGACATCCGAAAACTCTGTGTATCTTCCATTTGGTAAATGCAGTTTGTTTGTCCGGCAGCACTTGCACGGTGACGTCAACTGTAGTTACACAGAAACTGGCGGTGGTTGTACATATCGCTTTAAAAGTAAACTTTGCAGTTTTGGCTTGCTTTTAGCACCTCCTAGCATCCGTTTTATTCACTGTTGCGAAAACAAAACTGAAACTCCCCTCCTCCAACGGGTTTGAATGAAGACAACTGGACTTCCTTGGTTTCTTAAAGATGTTTCACTTTTCATCTGAGGAGCTTTGGCAGTTCTGACAGGAATATGGGAGAGTCAATCTTATAAGCTGTAGCTGTCTAGTGTTGCTTAACGAGTAGAAACTACCTATGAATACCCCTCCTCCCTACCTCCCGGTGTTGGGAGTCATTGGCCTGTGTTGTGTGGGAATCATTGTATTGATTAGATGCAAGAAGGTGTTACCTAGACTGAAACTGGAATTAAGAATTAAAAATTAAGAAGTCCAGTTGCCTTCCTTCGAACCGCTTTAGGTTTATCAGATAAATGCTTTCTTTGTCTCTTATAGGCTCCGCCGTGATAAACACGTTAAAATCAATGTTAACAAGGTGTAGCTCATCTGTTCTGAGGTGTAAGGTTGGATTGCTTTAAAGAGTGACTTGAGATTTCAGGGCAGCGGTCCGGAGAGGTTGCAAACGGGGTATCCTGCTCACAAGGGGCGTAGGGGCCTGATAGGATTTCATTTACCTGTAACGGGTCATTTTAGCACATAATGGCTGAAAAATGATTTAGAAATATGAAAAAGTTGCTTAGTGTGCCTTTAATCTTTAACTTCTTTGATTGGCTGACATTGTTTTCATTCCACCCAGCTGGAATGGCTCAGCTCAATGTTCCAGATCAGTCTAGTAGCTTCTTCTGAAATACTGCTGTTAGAAACCCAGTGTGGTTAGCTGGTGACAGACAGACTCTTCATGATGTCACACTTGAGTCAGAAAATCCTCGTTCTCTAAAATATTCTCTCTGGCGGCAATGCTGAGCTTAACACGCAGGCTGAACATGAAAATAGTCTCCTACACTAGACGGGAGCGATTGGAGGGCGACCCGCACCCACGGAAAGCACCGGCCGTGTGGAGACTTCACAGACTGGGATGCTACTCGAGGTGAATCGTAAGCTGGACAATGTTCTAGCTGCGTTACCGGTATTAGTGCGCAAAATGGATGTCATCTCGGAGGGAGTCACCGGGTGGTATGGACAGGTTTAAAAACCCAAAATTGGCTTCACTGAAGGACTGGAATGATCAGTTTAAAGACTGAAGGCAGAGAGGAAAATTATCTCAGCCTGACCCAAACAAAGTCTTGTTATCCGAATCTGACGCCCTGGTAGCCTTGAGCTGCAAGCAACTAAAACTCCCACGAAGGAATGCAGACAGATGCTGTGCTGATCTCTGAATTGTGTGTACTGAAACTCTAATTTCCCTCTGGGATTAATAAATCGTTGAGGTCGGCTGACCTTTTGCTGCTGCACACGCCGCGGATGAGACTCAAATCGCGGGGGGACCGAGCATTTGTCCATGCTGCCCCAAAGCTATGGAACTCACTGCCCATTGGAGTTCGGCAGGCTCCATCTCTGGCGGTTTTTAAATCTCGTTTAAAGACCCACTTTTACACTTTGGCTTTTAGACAGTGACTCGTTTTAGTGTTTTATTGTGTCATTGTTTTAATGTGCTCTTATTATTCATGTTTTCTCTGCTTTTAATTGAGATTTTTTTATCCTTTGTTTTAGCTCCTTGTAATTGGTGTGTTTTGTTTTAGCCTGTGCAGCACTTTGGGCAGCTCCCATGCTGCATTTTAAATGTCCTATATAAATAAACTATGCTATGCTATGCTATGATTGATTGATTGATTGATTGATTGATTGATTGACTGATTGGTTGGTTGATTGATTGATCTCCTGCATTAGCTTTGATGGAAAACAGACAGTGAAACTCTGAGATTAGAAAATCCTGACAGATCTACGTCACACTGTCACTCACCCAACGTGGCTCACAACAAGGAAGGCTGTTGTTGGTTTAGAGTTAATAAGCAGAGAACTTCTCAATTAGTGGAGGCTAACAGTTAGCATTAGCACCTCCACCACATGGCAGAACTCCTCCAGGCTTGAGTTATTTGTGGAGATAAAACATCAGTGTTGCAAAGAAAACTGAGTCAGTGGTAGAGTTGCGTCTTTCAGTTTTAGTGTCCTAATTTACAATATTTGCTTAGTGTAATTTTATTTACTATAACCTTCACATAACTAAGTAAAGCCTCTACTAACATGTTATCTGGTTTGTCTTTATCCACTGTGTTTGTGTGGTTCTATCAGATATGTTTCTAATGAGCTGTGAGTACAGTGCATTTGTCCTCCCACCTATGAAGCGTACAGCTCTGCGAATGTAGGAGTTGAAATTACAGCCTGCAGCGCTGATGTTGGCCTCAGTCTGTCTGGATGATGACCTCCTGAACAGATAGCAGTACAGGATGGCCTCCCCTATCAGAATCTACAGGCACAAGGACAAAATAAAATAAAAATCAGAGTTCTAATAGTTGACTTTCCTGCTAGCTGATGAAAACAGGAAACTGCATAAAACACTTGACAAAAATTCCCATGAATGCATGGATGTAGTTTTGGCTTTAGAAGTGGGGAGGGTACACAACCGGCATGAGGACTGGGTGGGGTGGGGGGTGATGTCAGGAATGACCAATCACACGTTAGCAAATATCAGCAGAGCCAACAGATGAGCGTATGGACAGTTCTACTGGAAAACAGGCTTCAACACAAGCGGTTGTTTTCTACTTGGTCCTAGAGCTCAACCAGTGTCTATTTAATATAGTGTAATATTGTTTTTGGAAGTGCAGGGGACAAAACTTCACTTCAGAAAAGTGGGGGGGACACGTCCCCTTTATATATACGTATATGTATATATGTGTGTGTGTGTGTGTGTGTGTGTATATATACAATTGTTATTTTATTATTTGCCAATTTAACAGTGATAAGGACATAAAGGTGGCCCTTGCCACCTGTAGATCTTCCATTGGGTGCAGAAGAAGAAGAAGAACAACAAGAACAAGAAGAAGAACAAGAAGAACAAGAAGGAAATTTTAAATAGCGTCTCTCAAAATAAAAATCACAAGAACAACAAAATTAATTAATTATTTAACATACAATATAAACGAGGGAAAAAAGTAAAATTTCAGACGAAAATTTGTGAATGAAAAAATTAAGAAAAAAAACTATCATGGGATCCAGAAAAGTACATGTACAGGACTGGATATGGCAGGTTTGTGATGAAGGTACCAGTCCTATTACTCCATTTAAGGCCAGAAGTGTTTTGATGAGGATGTGCAACAATGGTCCTCAAGGGGTTACATTTTTACACAGAAAATAATAACCAGTAACTTGCAAAACACTGAAAGCATTTGTCTTTGAAACCCTTTGAAAGTTGTCAATATTCATGACACTGCTGTTTTTTTAATGAATTTTAACGTCGTCGTCGTCGTCTTCCTCCGCTTATCCGGGTCCGGGTCGCGGGGGCAGCATCCCAACTAGGGAGCTCCAGGCCGTCCTCTCCCCGGCCTTGTCCATCAGCTCCTCTGGCAGGACCCCAAGGCGTTCCCGGACCAGATTGGAGATGTAACCTCTCCAACGTGTCCTGGGTCGACCCGGGGGCCTTCTGCCGGGAGGACATGCCCGAAACACCTCCCCGGGGAGGCGTCCAGGAGGCATCCTGACCAGATGCCCAAACCACCTCAACTGGCTCCTTTCGATCCGGAGGAGCAGCGGTTCTACTCCGAGTCCCTCCCGAATGTCCGAGCTCCTCACCCTATCTCTAAGGCTGAGCCCGGCCACCCTACGGAGGAAACTCATTTCGGCCGCTTGTATCCGCAATCTCGTTCTTTCGGTCATTACCCAAAGCTCATGACCATAGGTGAGGATTGGGACGTAGATCGACCGGTAAATCGAGAGCCTGGCTTTCTGGCTCAGCTCCCTCTTCCCCACGACAGATCGGCTCAGCGTCCGCATCACTGCAGACGCCGAACCAATCCACCTGTCGATCTCCCAATCCCTCCTACCCTCACTCATGAACAAGACCCCGAGATACTTAAACTCCTCCACTTGAGGTAGGACCTCTCCCCCGACCCGGAGGTGGCAAGCCACCCTTTTCCGGTCGAGAACCATGGTCTCAGATTTGGAGGTGCTGATCCTCATCCCAGCCGCTTCACATTCGGCTGCGAACCTACCCAGCAAGAGCTGAAGGTCAGAGCTGGATGAAGCTAGGAGGACCACATCATCCGAAAAAGCAGAGACGAGATTCTCCTGCCACCAAACTCGACACACTCCACACCACGGCTGCGTCTAGAAATTCTGTCCATAAAAGTGATGAACAGAACCGGTGACAAAGGGCAGCCCTGGCGGAGTCCAACCCTCACTGGGAACAGGTCCGACTTACTACCGGCTATGTGGACCAAACTCACGCTCCTCTGGTAAAGGGACTGAATGGCCCTTAACAGAAAGCCACCCACCCCATACTCCTGGAGCGTCCCCCACAGGGTGCCCCTGGGGACACGGTCATAAGCCTTCTCCAAATCCACAAAGCACATGTGGATTGGTTGGGCAAACTCCCATGCCCCCTCCATCACCCTTGCAAGGGTATAGAGCTGGTCCACAGTTCCACGGCCAGGACGAAAACCACATTGCTCCTCCTCTATCTGAGATTCAACTATCGATCGGACCCTCCTCTCCAGTACCTTGGCGTAGACCTTTCCAGGGAGGCTGAGGAGTGTGATCCCCCTATAGTTGGAACACACCCTCAGGTCCCCCTTCTTAAAGATGGGGACCACCACCCCGGTCTGCCACTCCCTAGGAACTGCCCCCGATGACCACGCAATGTTGTAGAGACGTGTCAACCATGACAGCCCTACAACATCCATAGCCTTGAGATACCCAGGACGAACCTCATCCGCCCCCGGGGCTCCGCCGCTGTGTAGTTGTTTGACTACCTCAGCAACTTCTGCCCCCGAGATCGGACAGTCCATCCCCAGGCCTCCCAGCTCTGGTTCCTCCTCGGAATGCGCATTGGTGGGATTGAGGAGCTCCTCAAAGTATTCCTTCCACCGTCCGACTATAGCCTCAGTTGACGTCAGCAGCTCCCCATCCCCACTGTAAACAGTGTGAACGAGTTGCTGCCTTCCTCTCCTGAGGCGCCGGACAGTTTGCCAGAACCTCTTTAGAGCCGATCGATAGTCTTTCTCCATGGCCTCACCAAACTCCTCCCACGCCCGAGATTTTGCCTCGGCAACTGCCACTGCTGCACCCCGCTTGGCTATCCGGTACCTGTCTGCTGCCTGCGGAGACCCACAGACCAGCCACGCCCTGTAGGCCTCCTTCTTCAGCCTGACGGCTCCCCGAACCTCTGGTGTCCACCAGCGGGTACGGGGGTTGCCACCACGACTGGCACCGGCCACCTTACGACCACAGCTAGCAACAGCCGCCTCGACAATCGCAGAGTGGAACAAGGCCCACTCGGACTCAATGTCCCCCACTTCTCTCGGGACGTGGTCAAAGCTCTGCCGGAGGTGGGAGTTGAAGACCGTCTTGACAGGTTCTTCTGCCAGGCGTTCCCAGCAGACCCTCACTATGCGTTTGGGTCTGCCAGGTCTACGCGGCATGTTCCCTTGCCATCTGATCCAACTCACCACCAGGTGGTGATCAGTTGACAGCTCCGCCCCTCTCTTCACTCGGGTGTCCAAAACATACGGCCGCAGGTCAGATGATACGACTACAAAATCTATCATCGACCTGTGACCTAGGCTGCCCTGGTACCAAGTGTACCGGTGGGCATCCTTATGTTCGAACATGGTGTTCGTTATGGCCAAACTGCGGCTTGCACAGAAGTCCAATAACGAAACACCGCTCGAGTTCAGATTAGGTGGGCCGTTCCTCCCAATCACACCCCTCCAGGTCAAGCTGTCATTGCCCACGTGAGCATTGAAGTCCCCCAGCAGGACAATGGAGTCCCCTGATGGAGCACTATCTAGCACTCGTCCCAGGGACTCCAAAAAGGGTGGGTACTCTGAACTGATATTTGGCCCATAAGCACAAACAACAGTCAGGACCCGTTTCCCGACCCGAAGGCGCAAGGAAGCTACCCTCTTGTCCCCCGGGGTAAACCCCAACACACAGGCAGAGAGTCTCGGGGCTAACAAAAAGCCAACCCCAGCCCTCCGCCTCTCACCCGGAGCAACTCCAGCAAAGTAGAGTGTCCAACCCCTCTCCAGGTCTCGGGTTCCAGAGCCAATGCAATGTGTCGAGGTGAGTCCGACTATATCTAGCCGGTACCGCTCAACCTCTGCCACAAGCTCCGGCTCCTTCCCCGCCAGCGAGGTGACGTGCCATGTCCCAAAAACTAGTTTTCTTGTCCGGGGATTGGACCGCCAAGGCTCCCGCCTTGGTCTGCCACCCGATTCGCATTGCACCGGACCCTTCATGTTCCTCCTGCGGGTGGTGGGTCCACAGTTGGACGAGCCCATGTATCCGGTTCGGGCTGGGCCCGGCCGGGCCCCCTGGGCGAAAGCCCGGCCACCAGGCGCTCGCTCACGGGCCCCAACCCCAGGCCTGGCTCCAGGGTGGGACCCCGGTAACCCTCCGGGCCGGGTACTCCGACTCTTCGTTTTAACCACCATGAAAGATCCTTCGAACTGTTCTTTGTCTCACCCTTCACCCAAGACCAATGAAATTTAACATTTGTAATAATTCAACATTTAACAAAACAACATTTAGGTGTAAAAATGTGGTTTAATTAGAAAACCATAGGTGAGTGTTGGACTGTAGAATGACCGGAATGTTGAGAACTCCACCTTCAGGCTCTCTTCACCACGACTGACCAGTACAATGCTTGTATCACTGCTGATTCAGCACCAATCCATCAATCTCCTGCTTCATTTTTCCCTCATTTGTGAACAAGACCATGAGATATTTAGATTCCTCCACTTGGGGCAGGGCCTCGTCCCTGGCCTGGAAAAGGCATTCTGCCCTTTTCTGGCTGAAGACCATGGTCTCGGATTTAGAGGAGCCGAATCTCATTCCAGCTGTTTCACACTCGACTGCAAATCGCTCCAGTGAAAGCTGGAGATCATATTCTGATGAAGCCGACAGGACCACATCATCTACAAAAAGCAGATACCCGATCCACAAGCCACCATAACGGATCCCCTCAACACCTTGGCTGTGCCTAGAAATCCTGTTCGTAAAGGTTATGAACAGAATCGATGACACAGGGCAGCCTTGGCGGAGTCCAATTCCCACCAGGAATGAGCCCGACTTACTGCTGGCAATGCGGACCAAGCTCCGGCACCGGTCATACAGGAACTCCATACTCTTGGAGTACCCCAGACAGGACCCTCCAGGGATCAGGGTTGTACGCCTTCTCCAAGTCCACAAAACACATGTAAACCTGTGAAGAGTGTGTGCATGACTTGTTTGTACATGGAGCAACTGAAACTTCATTGTACCCTGCTATACAGCATCTACTTTTCTTTATTCAATGCCACATTCCCACCCTGATGTCATGTTCCTGAGCCAAGGTGAGTGCTCCTTCCTCGCTAACCATCTCTGAGGCAATTTTCCACCGGTGAGGAGCGGTGGGAGCTGCAGGTGTGCCGAATGTCCAATCAGGAGGTCGGGTATAAAGGGAGGATGGAGACACCACTCTACGCCGGATGATTGCCCCAGCCTCTTGTCTTCGTTTGCTCGTGTTGCTCGCTTGAAATTAATATTGGATTTTTTGGCTCAGAGGATTCTCCTCTGAACCTTGTTTGTTTATTCCGTTCAGGATATTCCCCTCTACACACAACTCTCGCCGCTCGAACCCCGGATTACCAGAACCACGTCCCATCCTCCTCTACTACGCCTGCCTGGATTATCTCCGCTGCCTCACCCGCCTCAGCCCGCTGAGCCTCCACCAACACTCACCTTGGCTACCCACCTTTCCCGCACATCTTGGACTACCATATGGACTAACGCCGAACGGCACACCCTCACTGGACTTACCAGTGCACTTTTTGTCCCTGTTTTGAAAATAAACAAACTTTTCTTTAACTTACCCAGTGAAGTCGTGTTGATTCCGCATGTCTCGGGTTAAACATCTCCCTCGAGTCATGACACCTGACTGCAGTCTCAACCCTTCATCTCCACATCAAAGAAGACCTCTACAGACAGCTTCAGTGATTTCCAACCAGAAGTTCTGTCTTTTGAATGAGGTGTGTCACTTCCGACTGTCAGACGTTTGAATACAGTAGCAGCAGGTTAACAGGCCTTATCGTGGTCACAGCCCTTCATTTAACCCCGGGTCAGACTGCTCTTTACTGACTCTAGCTATGGATTCAACACAGTGACACCAAACAGACTGGTAACGCAACCCCAAAGTCTCAGGCCCTGTCCACACGTGGCCGGGGATCTGCCAAAACGTAGATATTTTTCTACGTTTTGGCCTGTCATCCACACCAAAACTGAGTTTTTTCACACGAAAACGGATCTTTTTAAAAACTCCGGCCAAAGTGAAGATCTGCGTTTTCTCCGTTTTGGGTGTCTGCGTGTGGACAGACAAAACCGGAGTTTTAAGGTCCGCAACGTCACTTTCCGTGACAAAAAAATGCTGACATCACGTGTGCGACCTGTGTTTACACTAGCCGACAGCATGGATTCCCTCAGAGCTGCGCTCCCTTTATCAATTGTCCAAGCGCTCTTTGCTTGTTTGTTTTTGCAAGCGGAATTACTGCTCCTTGCGGAAGACCACAGACGAAGGACGAGGTTAAGAACGGGGGAAGTACTGCCACCTACAGGTCTGGCATGTCCTTAACAACGTATTTATCTGGGTACGTGTGGACAGTTTTTTTTTAAACGAGGTGGTGTGGATGCAAGTTTTTGGAGGGGCGGATATTCGTTTTTTTAAAAAAACCCGGCTACATGTGGACTAGGCCTCAGTCTCCCACACTCCGTCCGCCCTCGGATAAAAGAGTTTCTAACTGGAGAAAGGTCCTCATTTTCCCTCAGCTCTCAGTGAGAGACTCTCCTACTCTACAAACTCTACACTCACTGAAGGCCTGTTTCACACCCATCATTTAGATTTCTTTAAAGCGTAAGTCACAGGTGTATTAATCCGGGTATTATTGTCTCAGATCCTCATCAAACCACTTGAGGCCATAAATCCTCCAGATGGAGTATCAGGATTAGTACCTTCATCAGAAACCTGTCACCCCAGGACAATACATTTGCAGGCCTGCAGGAGAATTAGCTCTTTCAGTCAGGTGTAAATTCAAATCCATGATGTGTTTTTATTCCTTTTGTCCGGTTAATTGTTGTTTTTTTTTCATCATACCTGTCTGTTCTGTCACCTTGCCTCCCTGTGTGTGGAGGCGGGGTCCACCGTGGACATGTCACCTCTCCATCACAGTACTTACTACGCGCCCTGCTTTAAAACTTTACATTCAGTGAATTAGTTCTTTAATCCAAACTCCCTGCAGTTGAGTTCCAGGTGTTATGGCGACTGAGACATGTGGCGGCTGAGGAGAAGAATCTGTACTTACAGTGACAGTCGGGACAGCAAAGGCCAAGCTGAAGAGCAAGGGCAGCGGGCAAACTTCCTGTCTGGGCAGGATGTAGGGCAATGACAGACTGCGGTCGTTACAACTGTAGCCAGAATGCACCGGTTGGAAAAAGTCCGTCAGCTCGAGGAAATAAAGGCTGACAGCCGAGGAGGCCAGGATGGGAAGCTGTATGAGAGGGGAAATCAGAACAAAAGAAGTGGGGAAAGTCTTCAGACCATCATTTCATCTTTAAAAGTGATAAACTATTTTAAATACTCAGTGAGTGTTAGTGAAGAGAAAAAAAAACGAGTTATTCTCATGGTTCTCCTACAAGAGCTCCCTGTAGTGGTAAACAGATGGAGTTGAGATGACAACGGTAACCTCATCCTAAGTAATTAGTAGATACAAACAGATAAGCCAGTGTTTCCAGTACCCTACTATCCTGTTCGCTCTTCCTCCTTCCATCTCAGGAACGTTGCTAAGCTGAGTCCCATTCTGTCCCGCTCTGAACTTGAGACAGTTCTCCACACCTTCATCTCCTCACGCTTAGACTACTGTAACTCTCTTTTCACGTGTCTGAGCAGAACCTCCCAGAACCGTCTACAGGTGGTTCAGAACGCCTGTGCTCGGCTTCTGACCAAGTCCTCCAAACACACCCACATCACCCCGCTTCTCCTCCAGCTTCACTGGCTGCCAGTCAACTTCAGGGTTCATTTCAAATGGTAAAATGGTAAAATGGTAAATGGCCTGTATTTGTATTCAGACACATTCACATGCAGGTGGGGATGAGCTACAATGTAGCTACAGCTGCCCTGGAGCGCACTGACGGAGGCGAGGCTGCCGAGCACTGGTGCCCCCGGTCCCTCCGACCACCACCTGCAGGCAAGGAGGGTTGAGGATTTTGCCCAAGGACACAATGACAGCATTCCCTGGTCAGAGCCGGGATCAAACCTGCAACCTTCCGATTACAGGATAACCCGCTCTACCTCATCTGCCAAGTAAATAAACATAAACAGAAACATCGCACTTATCTTGTCATGGTCTGCGTCTGTCTTCCTCATGTGTCTCCTTATGTCCTCCATCCCTCTTTAGATTCCCCTTTTGTGTCTCATAGCGCCCTCATGTGTCCTTTGTCTGTGTCCATTATGTGTCTTATGTTGGTAGTCCTTTAAGTCTATTTCTCCCAGGTCTTGTGTCATCTCATTCATCCCCAGGTCCTCCAGGTCTCATTTACATTCTGTGTCCTTGTGGTCCCCAGCTTCTTTGTCCCCAGCTCGACGTGTGTGTGAGATTCAGTCTCCTGCTCAGTGTTTGTGTGTGGGTGTGTGTGTAGTTGTGTGTGTGTGTGTGTGTGTGTGTGTGTGTGGGTGTGTGTAGTTCTCTGTGTGTGTGTGCTTGTCCATTCCCCATTCCTGTTTATATTAGTGCATTTGTGTGTGTGATGGTGTGTGTGTTAGTCCTTCCCGCAGCCTTTAGGTTTAGTTTTGGTGTCTTAGAGTTTCTTAGGTTTATTTGGCCCTCCTCTGTTTCTGTTTGCCCATTTTTATTAGGTTCACCTGTCTTCCCTCCAGCTCTCACTTCACACACCTGCCGCCATTTTCCCTAATCACTTCTCCCTGTGTATATAAGCTCTGTCTTGTCTGTGGCTGGCGTGGGTTCATTGTTGTATGTTGTCAGCGTTGCGCGTGCTCTGGATGAACGTTTGTCTCCAGGTTTTTTGTGCTCTAAGAAGAGCTTTGGGTGTTCCTGTTCCCCAGGAAGTTTTGGACTTTGGCTCGCTGCCTCGGATTACTTTTGTTCTTTATCCTAAAATAAAAGGATTTTTACTTTGAACCTCCTTCTGCCTCTTGTCATCCTGGGTTCTGCATTTTGGGTCCAAACCATCCTCCGCAATCGTGACATATCTAGACTATTAAAAGGTCACTGTGTGATATTTAACAAGACCCCAATCAGCTAAATTTCATAACTGCAAACAGAAACACCTGTAAAGGTTACCGAGCCTTTAAATGGTCTCTCAGTCTAGTTAAATTACTGAAATTAATGTCATTTTGCACAGTATTTTAATTTTTCCAGCTTCACACAATTGTGTGTTTTAGCAGCATTTCTGTTGCTGGTAATCTAGTAATGGTTAAATAAATAAAATCCTTTAAAATGACACTAGAAGAGGCACGAGCCTGATGGAGGACTTACATTTACTAACGTGGGTCAGACCCAAACGCAGAAGAGCTGAAGCTGGGTGGTAAACACACACAGGTAGTTCTAATAACACCTGAGCTCCATGACGTGTGAGACTGATGCATCAGTGTTACAGCGGGACTAATAAATTCAGCTTTAAGAAGCTTTATTTCTGGAATTTATTTATCATCATTGTCATTAAATTGAAATTGGACAGGTGACTTGATTATGACTTGAAAATTCAAAGTTAAGAACTTGGACTTGACTTGGACTTCCACATCATTGACTTTGGACTTGAATTGGACTTGGCTGTTTTTGACTTGGACTCGACTCGAGACTTGACTGGAAACACTTGTGACTTACTTGTGACTTGCAAAGTAGTGACTTGGTCAGACCTCTGTTAATTAGATGACTTGTTACTGAAAAAAAAAACATTTATTTTTAGTAACACCGTCATTTTAACTGGCGTTATTCCCATCACTGAGTTTGCGCCAAACGCTTCACTTAAGCCGGGCGTACACTGTGAGACTTTTTCACTCGTAGCACTCAGCTTCAGCTCAAACTGTACGACTTCCTCGCAGAGCAGATCTCACGAGTCATGCGCTCACACTGTACGTCTGGTAGCAACACGTCGGACCTAAAAATATGCTAAAAATAGCAGTTTTTACTCAACACGTCAGACTTTTTTGTCTTGCCTGTTGTCCTTCGGGAGTGCTGCAGGAGGACACACAGGGATTTATGGGGGTTGGATGAGGAAAACGAAATAAAGAAAGTAAATCTGTGTTTTGTGATCAGTTTAATTTGACATGAACACGACAAACACGCTTTCTTGACAATCTTTGTGAGTAAAAAAACGTGTAGAAATAAAAATGAACAGCGTGTGTTATTAGGGAAATAGCGGGCGAGCGGGGTTGATGCAGGATTGCGCATGCGCCGTGAGCGGTTCTGATACTTTTTGGGTCGCAGCTGCTCGCAGCACCGCGTCAACAGTGCGATACCCTCACGACGGACGAGCAAAATATCAAACACGCCAGAAGTCCGTGCGACCTCACGATTGCTGATCGGTAGCTGGTCACGTGGTGTTAATCGCCTCTCGTAGCCCCCTGTACACTACACGACCGCTCGGCGCAAAACTCGCCCCGATCTCGTGGATTCTCGCACGAGTGGAAAATCGGCTCAAAAAAGTGAAAAAGTCGCACAGTGTACGCCCGGCTTAAGCCTCCTCTTCCCGTCTCTACTGAAGACCAGAGGGGACAGATCATTTGTTGCTGTGGCCCCCAGACTCTGGAACGTTCTCCCCTGAGATCAGTGGACTCAGTGCTCTCCTTTAACCCTCTGGAGGCAGGCGTTGCAGATTTGCAACGTTAAAACCTACCTACCTGGTTACTCCACGTACGTATTTCATGAGAATCATTTTAACTCAGAAGCACCCCTGAAGGACTTAGTTGTTCGTCCTTTTATCAAAACTTATTTTGAGCCTGAAGAGGTTAAAAAGCAGCTGAAAACTCACCGGGTCTAGCTGATTACCTCTTTCTTATTCATTTTCTCTTTAACTTTCCTCATGTTTTTTAATCACAATTTTTTCTTTTTCCATTTTCCATTATTATTTTATCATTTAAAAACTCTTTTTTATTTTTGTTCTTGTGAAGCACCTCATGATTTTTATCTTGAGAGGCACTATATAAACGATGGTTTCTTCTTCTTCTTCTAGAGGTGCAGCAAAGCAGACCTGAGTCACCCGGTCTTCTGATTTGATGTTTTTTAATAATTAGTAGCTCACCTCGACCGGAAAAGGGTGGCTTGCCACCTCCGGGTCGGGGGAGAGGTCCTACCTCAAGTGGAGGAGTTTAAGTATCTCGGGGTCTTGTTCACGAGTGAGGGTAGGAGGGATCGGGAGATCGACAGGCGGATTGGTTCGGCGTCTGCAGTGATGCGGACGCTGAGCCGATCTGTCGTGGTGAAGAGGGTGCTGAGCCAGAAAGCCAGGCTCTCGATTTACCGGTCGATCTACGTCCCAATCCTCACCTATGGTCATGAGCTTTGGGTAATGACCGAAAGAACGAGATCGCGGATACAAGCGGTCGAAATGAGTTTCCTCCGTAGGGTGGCCGGGCTCAGCCTTAGAGATAGGGTGAGGAGCTCGGACATTCGGGAGGGACTCAATCAATCAATCAATCAATCAATCAATCAAAGCTTTATTTATAAAGCGCCTTCCGCAACCCTGTCAGGAAGCCCAAAGCGCTGAACTCGGAGTAGAACTGCTGCTCCTCTGGATCGAAAGGAGCCAGTTGAGATGGTTTGGACATCTGGTCAGGATGCCTCCTGGACGCCTCCCCGGGGAGGTGTTTCGGTCATGTCCTGCCGGCAGGAGGCCCCCGGGTCGACCCAGGACACGTTGGAGAGGTTACATCTCCAATCTGGTCCGGGAACGCCTTGGGGTCCTGCCGGAGGAGCTGGTGGAGGTGGCCGGGGAGAGGACGGTCTGGAGCTCCCTAGTTGGGATGCTGCCCCCGCGACCCGGACCCGGATAAGCGGAGGAAGACTACGACGACGGCGAGTAGCTCACCTGCCTCTAGTAGGAACTGCATTATCAGTAAAGCTCTCTGATGGGGAGATTAGTCCACCCACCAAACATTCCAGCCTGAAGCTGATCCAGAGTCAGTTCCCATCCTTCACATCCAACCAGGTGTGCTGCCTGTATTTTCAGCTCTTCTTCAGCAATAAAAACTAATGCTTGGCATGTGCCGGCTGTTGAAATGGTGAAAAACATATTGCAGTGAATGATGTCAGCATGTTTACATAAATTAAATAAAGTTTAAATTCTCATTTCTAGTTGTTCAGAATCTTATATTTCAGTCATCAAGTAGAAGCAGCAGATAAAATCCTGTTTTCAGCGTTTGGTACAAACTGTGTTCGGCAGAATTTAGTCAGGCTTTTCAGAGCGGTCCTGGTTTATCTGGCTCTGTTCCCATCACCGCTAAAGACAAGCTGTACGTGTGACGTCTACCCTG